TTTTTCCTTTTTTATTTTAACTCAAGAATTTCTTTTTTTTTTAGGAACATTGCAACACAGAGTCTTTACATACCCTTCATCCATGGCTTCGGGTGACTCAAATATCCTTAGACCTTCTACAATTGTTGGTGACTCCTTACAGGGCAACACACCAACCATAGTGGACAACCGATTTGACTTTGAAGTCACCTTTGAGGGATTATATGTGGCTCCTGGATCCTCTCGGGCAACAAAACGAAAATTCTTCCCTCGGCCTCCATTGTCGGGAATTCCACTCATTCATGATTTTCCTTAAGAATGAGGATGCCAACTTTTACGTAGAGGAGGAGGCTACAAAGCTCAAGAACTTATTTGGTGATGTTGTCCAAATATGTCTTCGACTTGATGAAGAGAAAAATGCTGCAGTGCAAAGATCTGAGCTCCTATCTGTTGACCTAGAAAATTTGAAGAAGCTTTTCGCGAACTCACATGAAAATTACCTCTCAATTAAGAAAGAGAAAGACAAAATTGAGAAAGAAATGAAAGCTAACCATTCTGCCCTGGAGGAAGCAAGGAAAACTGTTCAACTTCTTCAAGATGAGAAAAAGGGTTACCTGCTTAAATTAGATGAGCTCAAACAATCAATGACAAAGCTTTCATCTCAAAACGCAAGTCTTCAAACGCAGATCACCAATACTTCAACTGATACTATCCATAAATTTAAGAGATCAGAAGAAGGTCAAACTTGGGCTTTGAGTGGTTGCATAGATCATTTTCATCTTGCTGTATCCATCATAAAAACTCTTATACTTGAACAAGACATGCTAAAGGGTGATCATATTCCAAGTATTCAAGAGCTTAACATTTCTGAGGAAATCAAGCAAGACCCAGGTTTGAAGAAAATGTTTGAGGATGGGGTGAAGAAGATCTCCAAAGAATGTTATTCTGAAAATGAGGGAGAAGAATCTGCGGCCCAAGAGTGCGATTCCAGCAACCCTGAACATGAAGATTCTTCTCAAGATGAAGCTTCTAGCTCTTAGTTTTTATATTATTTCTTAGAATAAATTGTTTCCTTGAAAGTTTTTGAACTTTGGCTTTTCATGTTTTGCCAAAATTTTTACCAACTTACTTTTTTAGAAAGTTGATTTAGCATGACACCTTCTTAAAAATGTCTTAGTTTTCAATGAGAAAACTATTGCAACTGGTTTTCCTCGGGCCCTGAGCTTAACCAGTTTTTCACCGCCCTTTAACGGTGTTTTCCCGGGATAGGCTCCCTAACCTTCAAAACAAAGTTAGAGTTATAGAATATTGCGTAATTAGATAAAATCAGAGAAATTAGGCATGCTATTCAAAGTAATACGCAACATTGGCAAAGGTTTTATTCACAAAATTTATTCAACCTTGCTAAAACAAGAAAAAATTACTGATAATACTTCTTCATATGAACTGCATTCCAAGCCCTTGGGATTGGAGTTCCACTCGGCTTAACGAGTTTAAAAGCTCCATTACCCTCACCCACTAGGCCACGAGAAGTTTTAAAAATAGGTAGGCATCGTTCTGCAGATTTTGATACGAACCTACTCAATGCAACTACCTTTCCCATTAGCTTCTGAACTTCCTTTGTTGAGGATGGAGGTTTCATCTCCAACATTGCACAAATCTTCTCTGGATTGACTTCAATGCCCCTGCTTGTCAACATGAATCCTAAGAATTTCCCAGCCTTGACTCCAAAAGTGCATTTTGTAGGATTCAGCTTCATGTTATGGGTTTTGAGTACCTCGAAGACTTGTTTCAGGTCTTCAATGTGTTGGTCTAAGCTTTT